TCAGGGTGTTAAAGTCAGTGTTAAAGCCAGACTGTTAACCTGTTAACCGGCGTATTTTTTACATCACTGACCCTCCTTAACAGAATTCTGAATACTTCTGTTCACAGCAGCTGAACAGAATCTCGTATCTCAATATTTCTTCCAGTATAAACGGAACGATAAACTGAATAACAGGATTCGCCGTTAAATAAGTAACTTCCCCAAACATGAAAGCATTCTCAAACTACGAGTTAACTTGCCTCCACTAATTAAAGGATTAAACCGAAATTCTCCTATTAACTAGGATTAAACAAGTTAAATTGTCATTGATGAACCAATACTTGGAACACAATAGTTAATTTACATTTTGAATTGCACTATTACGTCTCTGTTAACTATAAAATCCATCACATTCACATTTGCAAGAATCAGAATTAAATATAAATAATCCGTTTCAATTTTCACTAATTTTCAATTATTAGGTCATCCCATAAGTTCGTGCCGAAAGCGAAGAATATTTTAATAAGAATCCAAGAAAATTCTATAGCGACGACATAATGGTCATACCAAAAAAAAAGAGTTATGAAATGAGAAGGTGCTCACGTTTGTTTTAATAAAATTTAAAGATTCGTTAAAAACATTAATCTAAATTATAAAATTCGACACAAACTTATTGGATGACCTAACACAAAACTCCAGAGAAAGTCAATTTCTGTTCGAGAAGAGAATCCAATTAACAGATTAAACTGTCCAAAAAAAAAAGAAAAAAGAACGGTTACCATAGCAGAAACAAAAAAGACACACCGGTATCGTCAAAAGAAGAAATAACACGAAGCACGAAAAGTTCTTCCCCCCTGTTAGCCAGTCGATGGAGCGACTAATAACGATAACGATGCCAGAAACGATAATCGAGTTAGGGGTTTCCGCGGTTTCCACGGTTCTCCCAGGGCGCTGATTGCTGGAACGGCGGCGGTTTTGCCGTCGGGATGGCCGATGCGCGCGGCGACGCCGACGCTGCCGCGTACAACCGCCGCGCAGCGGCACGTAGACGCGCGCGGACGAAGGCGTAACGAGTACACGCAATGCGATGCAAATTGGGCCTCTCTCTGCGCGGACCAGTCAATCGGCCGGTTACCTACGCTGGTGCAACGCGATGCTATTACTAACATCGCTATTCTATTATGACATTACGGTTCCCCGAGCAGCAGCCTGGCTATTACCGGCCCGGACTCTCCCTCCAGGCGTTCGATTCGGGATAACTCGATAACTATATAGTCATCGAGATGCTAGAGACAATGTCCAATCGGTCGCCTGAGGCTGCTCTTTCAATTTATTTTCATGCATTTAACCGTCTGTGTCTTTCGCCTGACCAATGTGCGTGTACACTATGGTGTTGTTTTCTTCAGTTTTGCCTTACAGTTTCGTTCTTGATTGATTTTATCCTTTTACAGGTTTAGTGTAGGAAATTTCATGTAAAGGTACAATCGGCAGGGTAGTGATTCTACGTGCAAAAATAAGTCGAAAATAAAGAATAATGTTTTTTCATTTAAGGCTTCGTTTTCGAGAAAAATGAATTTGAAAATGCGTCAGATAACTGAAAATTTTGAGGTTATGAAACTTGTGTTTCCGCTCGTGTGTATGTGGCAACACGGTCAACGTTTTGAACACTTGTTAGATTAATAAAATGATTCTTGAAAAGTACTAATCTAATCCTTATTCATAAAACCATTCCCATTTTTTTTTTTTTTTTTTTTTTTTGTTTCTTTAATTAATTCTGCATATTTACAATCTACTCCTTATCATATTGGGTAATAAGTGAATGTGTTGTGGAGATTTGACGTGAGTAGAGATATCATCCAGCGATGATACTCTTGTCTCATTCAAATTGAATACAGAATAAAAGAAAGTAATAATACTAACCAAATTCACGGAAATACGATAACAGCAATAACAGGAAGCAAATCGTGACATTGTCCATGTTTAATAATATACACACGAGCAGAAACAGAAGATTGATAACCTCGAAACGTGTAGTTAATATGTGGATACCTGATGGATTTTCAAACTAATATTTTTTGAAAACGAAGCCTTAAATAAAAAAATGTTATTATTTTTCTCACTTATTTTTGCATGTAGAGCCACTACCCGGTAGGTTATACCACGATTTACGAGGCACCATGTATAGAGAGTTAAAAAAAAATGTCGAAGACTTTAAGAGCTTATCAGTACTCACCGAGAGGAGTGAAACACGCTGAATAAACACGGGTACTGAAATCGATCCTTTCGGTGTAGAAACACAAAAGATTGTTTTCACATTTTCGGGAGATGCTCGATGTTTCTTCCCTCCAATTTGATGCACGACTGACATCTGCAGATCATAGATCGATATACATTACTTACTGTTAATAAGTAGACTAAAGTCTTTAAGAAACAGATTTACGTCTTTCTAAGTAATCTTTGTTGTTATTAAAGTAACAGCAATTTTTTATAATTCAGAAACGTAATAATTTGTAGTAATATTTCATTTCAATTATTATTTAATTGTTGTATTCTACATATTTCGAAAAATTTTCTACTGTGGTAACATTATTACGATGTTCATATTTAATTTGAAAATTAAATTGGAAACTACTATTCAAATTATATTGCGAAATATTATATTTAATTTCTTATTACCGGATTAAAAACTTGTAATTTTAATTCATTACGTAATAAAGCATTACAAAGAACAAATTACACTTTGTAATGATGCAATTATTATACAATTCTCTCTTAAATATGATACATTCATTTCTCATGCACCCTTATAAATAACTGCTAACAAAAGATAACCTAAAATTACCAACCAAAATTATTTAACCTTTAGTTTCACTCATTCTGCAACTTTACGACTTTCTCGATACAATGAATTAACCTCTTTAATCGAACAATATGAAAAGTCAATTTCTTATGTTGTTGAAATATGCACTTAATCTTTTCGAGAAAGGAAACTTCTATTCGTTTAACGTTGACGTCTGAATGAAAGATTTGTTAAAAATTCAAAATGAAATTTCATTGGTTTGATTTCATCCGATACATAAAATAGAATTACGATCCCGCCACTCGGATCTATTTTACGAGCTCTCCACGTATCCAATAAAACAGTACTCACAGCACATTCATTTGATTAACTGATTTACGAAGTACACATTCTTAGTATTTAAATATTACGTTGGCCAAGCGACGCCGTTGTATCACTATCGTTTTAATCATTTCAATCAAAATAACTGCCATAATGTAATGCAATAAGGTCAGCAGACCACGTGGCGTCATCTCTAGAAATCTGACGCACATAAACCACGGGATCGACTCATGCAGTTTATGGAATCTGCTAAAATTTTGAAATGACATTGCAATTTCATATTTTTGAGTGTATATGTCGTTATTTACTACAAAATAATTCTAATAGATATTGTTTATATTTTTTAAAATTATAATAATGGTATCGTACAATAAAACAATATAAATGTAATAAATAAGTAAAACGGTTACCTAAAAATGTAGACTATCCCCATTACTGTTGGTAAAAGTGCATGCTTATTTATTCAGTGTTTACGTAGTTATTTAGCTCTCCTATCGGTTTTTAGACATTTTAAACTATGAAAAACAATATGTTAAATCGATATCGATATTCTAAAAAACATTCAAATGATCTTGTTAAACACCTCCGATATCTTATTTGACACTAACTTATTTCGTTGACAAATTCAAAACCTTCTACTAGCCTTGACAACAGCTGTGCTGAATTACCGACATAGATAAAATCACGGTTTATAAAATTGATTCCACGCAGCCACGGTGTGGCGTGATATGCAAGAAATGACTTGTAAAAATGCATTCATTCTTATCCAAAGTAAATAAGGAGACAACGTGATTGTGATTTAAAGCGACGTAGAAAATTCAGTCAAAAAAGCTAGGTTTCGAAGCTCGAGAACGTGTTGAAACTTTTTGTATCCAAATATCTAGGCTTATATAATTAAAACAATAAGAAGATATAAAATTCTTCAAGAGTTTATATCACTTGAGGAAGAAAAAAAAAACAAAAAATAAAAAGACAAAATATTAACTTCACTTAACACATTTTATAATAAAGGTAATAGAAATGAATTGAGTGCTTGAAATAACCTTAACGAGTACATAACTAAAGGAGAAAAGAATTTGATTTACCCATTGGTTTTTTTAGAATGCCTACTTTGAAAGGAATAAAAGCAGCCGATAAATGAGTTGTCCGCGTCGACCTTCTCGACGGAGGCGAGCGTCACAGATGGCGCGTCAGTCGGATAGCGCAATTCAAAAGCAAATTTAAATTACCATCGAGAATCGCGACTCCGGTCAAGTGAAAAACGGAGACAGAAAATACACGTGATGATAAACAAGAAAAAGAGAAACATACGCAACACAACAGCGAAGCTGATACAGAACCAGTGGCGAACCAACTCGACTTTGACTCCGAGAGGAGAGACCAGGGAAAAATAACATACCACTGACTAAACGTAAGACGAACATCGACGTCGACCGAGCGAAAAATACCAACGTTGAAAAGAGAAAAAGCGCGAGGAGAGAGAAAGTGTTAAGAGACACGACGAAGATAACGAACGCAAGAGTGACAAAGAGCACCATTATTGGAGAGAAGGGATCTCGCGTGAAACAGAGGTGCTTGAACCAAGAGAGACGAAAGATCGAGGAGGGATTAGCGAAAAGCGAGAAAAAGAGCAATGGTGACAAGTAACGCTAGAAAGAGGCAACGCTATCGAGCGAGAGAGAACAACTGATAGACTGAGAAGGAACGAAAAAGAGGTTAGGTGAGTGACGAGGAAAGCTATCGGTTGAGACAGAGAAGTGGGGACGGAGAGTAAGAAGGAGAGAGAGCGTGAACCGTACAGGACTGAAGAGAGATAGCCGTGATCGTCGAAGCTCGTCATGGGAGACGGTGGAGGACGTTGGTCCTCCGCTGTTGGAGAGCGCGGAATCGTGGAGTAGAGCGAGCCGACGACGCACCGTTCGGGTCGTGCTCCTCGTCGCGGCTCCTGTTCTCTTCTCGCGGCTATTTCGTTTGGGTTGAATGAACGAGGGTACCAAGTGCAGAGTGCCGATCGGCGACGCCTGCGTGTCTATGCGCGTGTGCTTTGACTCCCTGTGCTTCTCGTCGACGCAGCAGCGGCTGGCCGACGAGGAGGACGCTCCCCAGCTGCCGACGCACGGCCCCGTGGCCGTGGTCGCCGCAGCCGGTCCAAGAGCCATCTCAAACGTCACCGGAGCAACCACGATTACAGCGATGGGCACACTTCGGGAACTGCAGGAGCTACTGCGTGTCAAGGACGAGAAGATAGCCGAGCTCGAGACGCTTCTCTGTCGTCGCGATGCCGAGATACAAGAATTACGGAGCCACCTTGACAAGTTCCTCAGTGTTCTCCCCTTCAAGTCACCCCTGACGCCGACGAAACCGAGACCTAGGAAGCAAAGGGCACAGGGGATTTCTGCGGAACCACCACTCCAGGAGCTCGCAACGCTGACGGTGGTCGACAAGAGCGACAGGTTGGTGTCATGCAACCGTTTCCCTCTATTCCGATTAAACTCGTTAACCGGCACAGTTTTTTTGGAGCCGATTCAAGTGGCGGCCGTTACGTCGCCCGCGACGAGAATATCGTTCGTTTCGACTATCTCTCTGTCGAACGCTGTGTTAAGCTGCAGCAGGTTAACCACTTAACGCTGCGCATACGTCCGCGCGCGTGTGTGTGTGTGTGCGTATGGCGTGTTTACACGATCGCGCGCTCGCCTCGTGTTCGAATCAATGCTGTGATTTAACAGCTAGTTTTCGACGCTGCGAGAAGAATTATGGAAATATATTTACGTGACGGCCAATGTGACCAGACGTTTTTGAAAACTGTTAGCGTGTTTTCGTGGAACGTCTGCACATTTACACGCGTTTCGATGTTTGTTTGAAGCGGGAGTGACGTATCGGCGAATATGTTCGGTTACGTTCGGCGACAGTCGGTAGAAAATTTCACATATTCTTAACGTCACCCAGCTACCGTACTCTCGCCGCCAACATGTTTGTTATGACGAGTAAATGCATACACACGTTTTGCATTGGCTGGCCACCATGTGACTACAGACCAGTGCTTTTCCACCGCTTGCTATTCAACCGTCACCTTCGCGGCTTTTTCGATCGATTCTAACCGAATCTTCTGTGGTAAATACCATTTTATTGTCACTCGCGCGCTTCGTGAAACGGCCGGGAAACGCGTGTAGCTCATTAAAAAGTTTACATAACCTATACGTTTTACCTAACTAATCGGAAATAAGCATTAAATATACTTTCTTATATCAATTTACAGTTTTGACATTTTTATATATTGTTTCGTTCAACATTGACAGCATTTTTACTTTCACATGTCCCAAGTTTAATTGCTATCTGAGAATCAGTGATATTGAATAATTCGTTAAATGTAACAGGTCGCAGTTCCTTTCTTCTCATTCATTTTTTCCTCGTTTCTTTCTTTCTTGGATGTTGTCCGACATTAATTTCGATGTTTGCATTCACACCTACCTGGTTGTTCGTTTTTTTTATGCTAATAAAGGTATTTCAAACGAAGTTTTTAAATTCTTGTAATCTTTTTTGACTGCTTTCTTAATCACAATGTGGCTGTAACGAATTTTCGAGATTCTTGGACCCGATGTGTCCTTTCGAACTTTGAGGTTATAACTTTTTTAGACCATTTTTAACGCAATCATAGATGTCGCATTTGCATAAATTTCTTAAATGCATAAATTTTTTTATCAATAATCGCAAGTATCGAAATGCGAATGTTTCTAAATTTTTAAATATTGTTAATATTTTTAAATATTGCTTCTACATGGTACGGGCAAAGAGTACGGACAAAATATCATGTGAGAAAATTGTATACGTCAAGATACGAACAAAATATAAATTGAAGAACAGATAACGAGTAAAAATTAGATTAGTAATTGATTTGTGACTGATAAATATATCTTTTCACTATTATTTACTACGACAGATATGACGTTGTATTTACTGAATTTCTATTTATTGTTTATGTACACGCTATCAGAATAAGATTGATATCAACCGAGTGAACTTAAACACAATTGCGCGAATTGATATTTAATAACGTGGTAACATTTTATTAATTAAATGTCTAGTAATTATTAGATGGTGTGTTACGCTTTCAATTGACAATTTTATCTCAGAAAGATGAATCTGTCTTCTGATATCACCATGTTACAATTTAAAATAGAGCAATACCTATTTAGAGCCTATTCAACAACTTAATTGGAGTTACTTACGTTGATTCCTATTACCATGGATACGATTCTTTATTATTATTACTGTGAACCTTTATTCTGAAAAGATAAATTTGTCTTTGGTGCAAGATTCCGATGTCTGACTGTAAAGTGAGGCAAAATTTTTTTAGAGTAGTTATGCCAGTTTTTTATAACCTTATAAAATAATCCTTTATTATCAGCTTTGCAAAGTTTTATTCTAGGAGGATAAACTTGCTGTTTAGTGTAAATTATGCCACAAAATAGATTAATGAAAATAGAGAAAAATTTATTCAAAGATTTTTTCATATTCTATTGCCATTGATGTAACTATTAATTACGACATTAATTCTAGAAAAATAAAATTTTATACTACGAAAGTATCAATTTTTCTTCGTTTCTCTTAATTAATACAATCGCATTTATTTTTATTCTCGTGTTTGTAAATCGTCACAAACTTTATGCTATTAATTATGACATCCATTTTAGAAAAATGAAATTTTACACTGTAAAAATGTCAATTACTAATCATTTTTCTTTTAATTAACATAACCATACTTATTTTCATTCTCACGTTTGTAAATCATCACTCTGAAAGAGTGAACGTATATTCTAGAACTTGTAATGGAAGTCTAATTAAAAACAATTCACATAGATCTTTATTAATATACATAGAAACACCTATTGCCCAGCTACTGCGAATTAAACTTAATTAGCATGAATGTTTTTATTCCAATGAAGTGGATAATTTCACTTTATTCATTCACGTTATTAAACGCAATTACACGTCTATTTGTAATGCAAACCATAAATGTTATAAAATCCTTTCCAGATAAATACGCGTAATTCTTCATTTGTCTGATACGCAGAGTCGTTTGAATAATTATGCACAGATGAAGCAGTTAGTGACGACAAAAGCAAAAAAGAAACGCAACGAGAAATTTCTTCGTGATTTTTCATTTATCGTTAATCGCTTGTATTAGTGAACGACAAATTTTCTTCGATCCCACTTCCCGGCTTTCTTCATTTCTTCCTTTTTTTTTTTTTTACCCACTTGAAGA